GTAGGAGGGATGGGGCAGAAAAAAGAAAAAAAAAACCTCTAAGACTGACGACGGGATTCAATGTTGATACATGTCGCAGTATTTATCTACTTTGAACGGGGGAAAATAAGTGCTTAAAGATGATTTCACACCAGTGTTTCTTTTTGAAAGTTGATGTCTTTCTTGCTTATATTTTAGAAACACTGAGGCCTGTACCTATGTCCTTTCTCCAATTGTGCACAATAATGAGCGGCCCCTAAAAGCAAACATCCTTTCCTGTGATTAAGACACAGAAACTGTAGATTTAGGTCAACAGAAATTAGTCTGTTGGACATCAGAGATGAACAAGGTCAGCGTTAAGAGCTGCGTTTGAATAGTTGTCCTCCCAGACTGTATTTTGCTCATACATCCTGTAGCATAATAGAATTAGGTCAAGGCCCCGTGAATCATTTGCCCCAATGGGCTAAAACCTTCCAGCAAATAGACAGTTTTTTTTTATTTTAAGGTCTGAATTTCTTACTCCATTTAAAATCTACCAAACATCCACCTGAAAGCTCATATTTCTACTAAATTTCACGAGTGAGATCCCTGCTCTGTGGCCCCTTCCACTGATCATTGCAAACATGCATCGATTTTGTAATTTTCCTCCCCTGTCTCTTTGTTAATCAGGCAGGAAGTTGGAGGAGGGAAATGAGAACCACAGAGAGGGATGGCAGGGAATTTTTCATGACATCTGACGGGGAAAGTGGGTCATGCTCGGTGTTGCAGTGCTGCTAGCCTCCTCCTCTATGGCGGCTATTGAATTAATCACGCTTTACGCTCGGCTGGACAACGCAGAGCACAAAATGGCTCCCCCCTCCCACCCCCTCGCCTCCCATCTCTCCCTGCGTCTGCCACAGAAAAGACTCGTGCATTGCTCTTGAAGAACTTGAATCTGAGGTTGAATCTTTTTTACCTCATGGTCCGTCTTTATGTACGACTAACAATGAGGAGATGCTGCTCTTATGTGCAGCCACTGGGGTGGAAATGATGCAAAAACACTCCCAAATGGATGAAAAAGCAAAGTTAAGGGGAGATATTTGGCATGTGAAAGTGCACATAAGATACTGTGGTGAAGAGGAAAGCTGGAAAGGCCTAGAACTATTGATACTTACTGATGCTATTAGCTACTTCAAACCAGTCTAAAGCCTTACAAAATGTGTATTAAGGAGGATCACATGTTTCTCTTGTATGTTTTTGTTCTTCCAACTCTGACTGCAAGAATGCAGCGGTGTCTGCAGATATGGAGGCATTTCCTTAGAGCAGAAAACTTCACTTCAGGCTGAGAGCCTCTGCACAGCCAAGTGACCATCAACTGACCCCTTTGACATGAAGCGTGAAAAAGCTGCAGCATGCATACCAATACCAAGAAAAAAGACTTATTTCTCTTAAAGCGTTAAGACACCTTTCCTTAGTCATTTCTTGTGGTTTTGAGAGGTGAGAATATTTGATTTCTGCCCGTTTTAAACCATTTGTGTAGATTTTAGATGCAGGAAAGAAATCTAGCACCTCACATAAAGGTGCAAAATGTGGGTTAATTAATTCAAAAGATGTTGCTGTTTATATTTTGGGGGATAAATTATGGATGAAGACACAGTTGGTGTCATCTTCTCTCTATCGTAACTCAACTTTATGAATTGAGTTGTGTCTTTTATTTAGAAAATACACATTTAGGGACTTTTGTAAATACGTTTACTGCTCAAGCTTTGCATGGAGTTTTGGTATTGGACCGAAACTGGAAATACGGGACACTCCATGCTGATGCTGTTTCTGCAGTTGTATAAGAAGAGACTGGCTGGATATCAAATGTTTTCATATCATTATGTTGCCATATAATCAGCACACAGTTACACTGTCAATAAAATGACAGACAGACAGACAGACAGACAGAGAGAGAGAGGGAGAGACTCTGAAATCCTGTAAAGAAAATCATTAAATGGAGGGCCGGCAGTCTAATCTAGGCCAAAGCTCCTGTCATCTGTTCCATCCTAATCCACATATCTACAGATATGTCATTATGACGTTTTGATATAAAACCCTCCATGACTGTACACCAGAGCCTGAGCCGAAGCTTCACGGCGGAGGTTTTACCAAAAGCGCCTGCAGCTGAGGAGCAAGGTTTTTAATTTGTAGGAATATTGCGCAATAAATGTCAAGTGAGAGTCCTGTCTTTTTTTTTTGGATAAATAGATAAAGAGTATTTTGCAGGGAAAATGAAGAAGCAGCACGAAAAATGGGTTTTGTGCATCTTTGTCTCTTCAAAATGTCATATAATCCATTTTAAAGCTGTGCAAAGTCTTGAATAAAAGAATAATGCAAAGTGTCTTATTTTAATGGCAATTTGTCGTCCTTTATGTTCAAAAATCATCCTGAATTTTAAGTTCTCGTGTGATTTGTTTTCACATTTGGAGGAACGCCAGTACATGGATTCAGTCTGTCCTAATGCTAAGCAGACTTGCCCTTAAAAACTGTTCTAATGAATCCCAAACTAAGTTTATCTGTACTAGTCACATGCTATGAAGTGTCCAACTCTGAGCTCTTTGACCTTTTACTGCTAACTTCTGAACAGCTGTGTTCTCAATCTTTTAAAAATAGATGTGGGTTACAAATGTTAAACGTTTTGTGACATTGTAGTGGGACTTTGAGCCTTTTCTTTTAGAGTTCAGAGTCCAGTTTGGCTATTTCTCAGAAAGTTTAAGTGATGCGTTTTTGGTTAAATGCAGAGCAAGCCAAGGTCATTTTCAAGGTAAACTGTGTACAGCAGTCAAATAATCTACTTTTAAAGAGGGTAAAAAAGGTCAAACCTGGTGAATAATCCCCACACTTCTATGTTTTCTTCATATTTGCCATTTCAGACACTGTTAACCAATGCTTACATATGGTTTTTAATATATTGTACTGTGTTATCATATTGTAAATTATATTAAGCATTTGTTTTTGCATTTAATGATGAAAGAGTAACAGAACTGCAAGCTTTACAGCAACATTAAACTGCAGGTGCATGCAGCTGATCAACTCAACCATAAATAAAGGTTTGCTAGTAGTGTAGCCAATATTAGACCCATGACCTGGGAGACATACATGTTTGTGCTCCAATTAAGGCAGAACAAAAGGAAAATTAGCGTGCATATGGGGCAACAGAGGGGTGCATAGAGAGTGAACCTCCATATGTTTTCACGCGAGCTGTTCAAAGCACACTCAGTTCTGCATGGAGGAACTTCTCACTTTCAGGACCTATTTCAACTCATCAGATTCAGTTTGGAGAGCAAAAAACCTCTTGGGGACAAAGTTTGTGACAGGGAAAGCAACAGGAATGAAGAAAACATGATAAATAATTGCTGGTAATGGTCGCTCCTGTCAGAAACAGTAACTGTAGGCAGATCGAGTAGAAGAAATCGAGAGGAGTCCTGAGGATTTGGCCCTCAGTTTACTGGTATATGAGCAGCCCTTGTCTCGTCTGGCGCAGGCTTTTGTTGTATGTGGTGCGGTGCGGAGGAGTGTGTGTGTGTGTGGGGGGGGCGTCTACCCCATCGGCCTTCCTATACGCCACTATGACAGTGCTCTCAAGAGCTGTCAGCCCACATCAGCAGCCCAGCATCATGATAGCTCAGCCTAAATCACAATCAAAACTCTGGCCACCACATCCTCACCACAACCAGTCAAATCAGAGAATGCAACGAGCACAGAAGACACGCGGGCCAACTATCACCAAGTCGCTTTAAAAAGTACCTCGCAGAGTACTATGTGTTGGCTTAAAATAGTCCAAGTGCGGAGGGGGGGTTGGGGGTTCCAGTGAGTCGGCGCCGACGGTGGCACAGTGTAAAGGGTTTTACAATGCAGGCACACCATGTTGTGCTGTGAATGCGGCGCTAAGAGCTGAGCATTAAGTCGGCCATTTTAGATTTGCCACAATTTGTAATGTGAGATCACTGCTTGTCACAAAGTCATGGCTTCCATACGCGAAGCTTTTCCGCCGTGCAGTCATGCAGAACGGGTCAAAAGCATGTCCCCTCTTCTTTGGCTTCCCTCGTTTTTTTTTTTTTTTTGCTATTTGTTCCTCACATTCCTTCCAAAGCCGTTGCTCTATTTTAGTATTATCACTACCAGACTTTCACTGTTGATCTCACTGCCGAACAACAAGCTCCAAACAAAGGAGTTATTCACTGGCGTATTTCAACTCGAATACGGCGCTCAGCTTTTGAGGTAATGACGAATGACATTTTGGGTCTATGATTAGCCGAGAATAAGGCCATCAGCGGCGTTAATATCAGTGTGACGATAATTGGAATAATGATCTTGGAGGGAACTGATGTATCAATTCCACTCATGTAAACCTTATCAATCCTACAGTGAAAAAGGTCAGTCTGGCTTCATAGCTAGAATAAGATAATTAAAAAAAAGCAGTTCTTCCGGTTATCATTCATTTGTTTCATGTTTCTATAATCGCGGCTAATTCCTCAACAATAAAATCACTCATGCTTGAATCTAAGCCAAGACAATGAGCACGAAACAATGATAATCAAGAGACCCCCTGAAAGCAAAATCGACTGACCATAAAATTTTAAATTATTCTCTTGGGAAAACCAAAATATTTCCACACTGCATGCAGCCACCTTATTTGGGCGCGCTGAGGACAACTTCCGAAAATGTTAACTTGATCCACTTCAAATGACCAAATTAGATAATGAGTCAATAAGTCGGACTGTGTCACAGTTCATTATCAGGATAATGATTTTTCTCGACTGTGGGTAAGTTACCAAGTTAATTAATTATTGAATGGCATTACCTAACCCAGCATGGAGCTGTATTTCATGCAAGTTTTCAACAGTTTGATCCTTTTGGAAGTCCAGAAACCATTTTTCTTCTTCTTTTTTTTTTTTTTTTTTTTTTAAATAAAAAAATAAATGTTGCATTAAAAAAACCACCCTGGCCTAATATTTCCCAAAATTATTCTACACCAGAGCCTTAAAAAGAGAGCTTACCTTTATGTAGCGCAGGATACCGTAGATGACGACCACTTTCAGCGTTGCAAGATTAAAAATCGCAAAGGGAAAATTATTTTTTTTCCTTCTTCCTTTTGCTCTGCCCAGGACCAACTGTGCCACCCTATTGGTCCGTACCACAGGGTCACATGAGCGACCAGAGGAACACGTGACACTCGAAATTATATGATGAAACAAAACCGACTGGCATCCTCAGTGAGCACAGTTTTTGTTGCTGTGGTGCGATACTCTGTTTGCCATACTGTTGGGTGTCAAGTGTATATAGGCCGTATGATCAGGCGTAATCTGGGTGACCATCACCCACCGCCCTGTCAGCCTACCCCCCTTCCCCTCAGCTGCAACAAAAGGGGGGGATGCCCAGTGAGGCACACGGGCATCGTGGTGGCATGTCTGGGGATGAGGTGGTCTGAATCAGAATTGTAGCCTCCGGTGGCGCTCGTCTGTCCCAGGGGAGGGTCGAGCACCCCTGAAACCCACAAAGCTATCGTCCTTGTCATTGTTCATAACAATCGACACAAAAATAACCCAGTTGTTCAAATGGTGCCTTTCTCAGATTTAAAACAGACTGAAGCACGGCTGCCAACGTGCTCTGCTGTGTGCAGCCTCGTTCGGGACAGTTGAGGAACTTTTTTTGGGCTTGAAGCAACCAAGCACCTCAAAGAAGCAGAGGTCAAACCAAAACACACACACTTAGACATGCACCCAACCCCAACAGTGCACAAACACGCCACAGTGACAAGAATATCCTCCACAGCCTCTCTGCTTTTTAATCTGCTTCTGTGTGTGTGGGGGTGTGTGTGTATCTATCTGGTGTGTGTTTATGTGCGGAATTACAGAGCTTTGGAGGCATCCCATCCAGATTTTCCAATCCAGCGCAAATCCAGCCCTCATGTCAGATGGACAGTTGTGTGCAGAGCTTAATCTGACATTATTAGGGTTGGACAGCGGCAGCAGCAGCAGGACGTTTAAGGGAGCTATCGGGGAAAAGCAAACATTGGGGTTGTGCTGCCTGGATTAGGGGCAACGCAGACAATGAAGAACGTATATCCCCTCATTGTCAATTGTTTCCATTTAGCACAGATGCTCTCCATGCAAAATCCAATCTTACTCCTATGTCAAACTAAACAAATGCTCGGTAACGAGGCTTCCAACATACAAGTGCTTTTAATATTTCTACCTATACAACACATAATGGTCACCATGCCTTTACCTACCCACTCGACTGTAAAATGGCCCATGGGAAAAACTACAAATAGAGCATTAAATTTGCTCCACATTGAATCATAAAGGGGAAGAGTGCGTGCGGTAAAATAGAGCGCCGTGTCAGAGGAAATCTGTTTTATATTCAAACGACAGTGTTGGCTCACCTTCAAAACCCAATACCAAGACTGGTGGCAGCACTGATTATAAAAATTAGTTTACATAACATTCTTGTATAATTGAGTAAAGTCTAATCTTCCTTACTGCTAAACGCACTCAGTCCTCAGTACTCAGTCCTTTGAGAAATGACATGTAATCTGTCAAAAGTTGTTTTATGGAGCAGTATTAATGGCTTAGAGGGTCATAATAAGCCATCTAAATGATATAAATGAGATCATAAATAATTTTCTACGGAATAAATCTACAGTAATTGTGAGCTGGAGATCTCTATATCAGGCGAAAAGTTTAAAATAAATCAATCATTCTCGCTCAGGCATATTTAACAAAGCACTTCTTTAGGTCAAGGGTCAATCTGCTTACCGGTTAAGATGTGGGGAAGCTCCTTATCAGGAGAGAGGAGGTGCAGTCTGGGAGTTTAGGACCAAGATGGCAGATTATGGGCACACTAAGGGCTGGGGCAGCTCCCAGGGCCCTATAAGTTGACTAACCCCCGCACCCCCCCTCCCCGCCCATGGCCTCCAGCAAGGTGATGAACCGAGGCAGGTCCAGCATGCACAGACCCCCCTATTACCACCCCGCCTCCACCAGAGCTCGTCCTCATAGCCACCCATGTAACCTATCAGGGTGCCAGGGTCCTAATGGAGGCAGAAGGGCGTGAAGGAGAGAGTAAAGGAGTGATAGTCAATCCTGCTGATTGTTGATGGACCCAGGAGAGTGGCGACAAAAGGGGGCTGAGTTGACCCCATTAGTACCCACGTAGTGTGAAAATAAGTGTGGAAGTTTATGAAAATTCTCACTGTTTATGGAATTTCTGGAATTTTATAACGTTTTTTTTAGAGGAGCTCAAAATATAGGAATGTTATGTAATATCAGAACCGTTTACCGGTGTGTTAAATGGGGTTAGTAAGTTGTCTCATACATTTGTCAAGTGTAACTGGAATGGAAAACCAGAAAAAAGTAAAACTCCAACCAGAAGATGATGAAAAAGTTCAGAGAAACTCTATAACTTAAAAATAGGAAGTCATGGAAAAGTGATCGAGTTGTGTGTGTGTGTGTGTGTGTGAGAGAGAGAGAGTGAGGGGTCATATTGGCTTTAAGCTATTTCTGGCAGACTTTCCTCTGCAGTCGTTGTTGATTTTCCATGATTAGCCGGCAGCATGTAACCATTGACTGTCAGGGAACTTGACCATAGTCAGCCGACTTGGTGGGTATTAGTCCAAAAACAATTCATATAAATTGCTTGTTTTAGATCCTTTCCATTGTTCTTTAAGTCATTGAAAGGATCCGTAGTATCCTGACTATGTTGTTACCAATCAATATGGATCCTTGCATATAACTATAATCAGGAAATACAAGCATGGTTTCTGGGGTCCATAGCCCCAGCATTCAACTTTGGTGTGCCACAATGCACTATACTGGGCCTACTGTTTTTCTGTATGTACAACCTTTGGCATTAAACTTTGCTTCTACCCTCAGCGTAATTACTCCCACTCCTTTATCCCATCCAAAATTAAGTTATAGGTGTTGTTAAATTCCCAATCCCATTTTTTTAAAGGAATGTAGTGACATCTAGTGGTGCTGCTGCAGACTGCAACCAATCTGAATACAGCTCAACCTTCCAAGTGTCTCTATCTCCTGTCAGTGGGGGGCTGAAAGCTGATGACCACATGGCTGGTGTAATTTCTGTATTGATCAAGTTTGGACTAAATTGGTGATCCAAAATGTTTGACCATGACATTTTTACTTCTTTGTTGACCCTTCCCTACTTTGTTCTAAATTATATTTTGTTCTTAGTGTAGTGTAGTGTTGTCTTTGTTGGAATTTACTGGTTAATAATGTGGCTGTTGTAAAGCCTTTTGAGGCTGTAACTATGATTAAGGGTTGTTGAAATACATTTGACTCAGACTATAGAAAGTGATCATTCTTGTTTTGGGGCTGTCCTCTTCATGAGCACGATGCCAAGAACTAATACATAAAATATTGAAGCATTTTAGCCAGTCACTGCACCACAACTGATTTTTATCCTTACTTATTAACAGTAAAATATTTTATTTGTACCTCCCTTTCCTCCTTTAACCCTGTAAAGATTTCAAGAGCATTAACAAATGTTTTCAGCAGTACACTTACTTATATCAGTTGTTGAGTAGTTTTCCAGAATGATGATTGATTTTGCTCATTTTCCTTCTGCCCCATTGTTTAATCTAAGATTCAAACCCATAATGCTTTGGGCACATGCTTGATTCAATTCCATATTTAACAGATAAGTGATTGAATAAATGATTAAAAAGAGCAGACAGAGAAATAAAACAGGTAACAGACAAGATAAGACAGCTTACAAGTTTGTCTTTGGTTGAAAATGTCAGAAAGTTTAATCTTTACTATCTTCAGTGAATCTGTTCCTTCAATCTGTAAAATGACGATAATTATTTTGAAGCTGCCCTTTTACATTGGCCCTCTTATTTAATAATTGAATTTGAATTTTAGCAACTAACAACAAAACTCAACAGTAGCAAAAAGTATAGTCTGAAAAAAAGCTTTAGGGGTGCCAAGAAAAATATCCTAGAAACCTCAACTATGGGTCAGATTGTGCTAGAAAAGACGTTGTACGGCGTGTTGTCCAACCACATTGATAGACACTCGATCAAAGAGAGGATTGAGACATGATTAATTACCAGCACACATTTTTAGACTCACTCAGTTATATGCACGAACAATGGTGACATGCTGACAATGACGATGCTAAAATGCTCATGTTTAGCAGGTCTGGTGGTTACTATGGTTGCCATCTGAGTAAACATTTAAGAGGATCTATTGGCAGAAATGGAATATGATACTAGGTATGTTTTCATTAGTGTATTCGTACACCTGAATATTGGAATCGTTGTTTTCTTGTTACCTTAGACTGAAACATTTTTATCTACACGTGCCCCGGGCTGGCAAGTTTCTCAGCCACCGTAGTTTCTCCTACACACTCCACAGCCTCTTCTCATTCCCAGATACACAGTACAGCTGAGGCTGACGGGAATATCATTAGTTTTGCAGGTATTTGATGTTAAATGAAAGTATTTTGAAATAAAATGAATTAAATTTTGACCTGATGATGATAGCTAGAGCTAAGACAAGTGAAAAGATTACCAAAGTGGTTGGAAATAATCCTGTGAATGTTTTTAATTGCAATCCATGTAAAGGTTGTCAAGTTCATTAGGATTCATCCTCTGGGCACCACAAATGCCTGTCCAGTGTTTCATGGCAATCCATCCACTAACCTGTTGAGATATTTATTTCTAGATCAACAAGCCATCAGACAGGCCTACTTTGCCATCCATGAAACCATGTCACAAGCAGAATGAGTTATACATTCCTTTTGGTACTTTAAATATCCTTTTTTTTTTGGTCTAAATCATTAAAGATTCATTTTTTTAAAGGAAACTTTAATTTTACAAAAATGTCAAACTATAAGGATTTCTCTGTACCCATGAGGCTCTGTATGAAAGAGGATTTAGTGTTGTGGAGTATGAAAGGGGAAATTAGTGTACAGGCAGAATGTAAAAGGTAAAGAAGCTGTACTTGAACACAAATAAATATAATGAAAGGTAGGAGTGGTTTTGAACCCTTTGCATTTGATGTCTAACTATCTTCTTTCATGCTGAGGGTTTATCCCCGTTAGCCATAACTGAAGCACTCTTGTGTCGTGGGAACAATAAACCTCTCATAAGTGTTCAGTATGCTCTAAAAGCCTTTGTCCATAACTCTAAAGCTGCTCCACTCAAAGCAACTCCATGTTCCTAATGGAAAATATTGCCTAACCCTCTCTGCTGATGTCGTCA